ACAATTAAACATGCATGTATTAGGTCTAGAGAAATCTTGCCTTTTTTAACCACCTACGACTAATAATTGAATTGAACTTCTATTAGCAAGAAGGTCAAAAAAGTTGTTTTAAGATGAACTCAAGTTAATTAGGAGATGAAGAAGTATTAAAAGCAGTATCCAAATCTAAGATGGCCTATATCTTGTGGCCTCTTCTTTCATCACTTAGTAACAAAAATTCATCAAATTTTATAAGATGCACTATTACAGTCAAGCAAAAATTATGTGGCAATTAAAAAAATAAATACAAATAAATATGGCTGATGCTTAAATATTACTATTATCTTAATCAAATGACATATTTTATCAAATACTAAAAAAGAAATATTAGAACATCCTTACTACCATCAAAAACCAAAAATTTACAAGATGACGGATTTGCCACAAGTTTAATGAAAAAAACTAATGATAATATGTCAAAGAATTTTTTTCAAGCCATCAATGACAGTCTTATAAGATACTTGATCAGATTTACTATAATTGATAATGGTATCTTGACCAACAATCATCAATAAATAGAAGAAGCATGCATTAAATATTTTAGTACAAAAAAAGTGATGCATGAATAAGATAGTGATGGCACCAAAGCAGAGGAGATCATTTTTAATACAATACAACTATTGATCTAATCTGACATCACCTTTTTCATTACAAAATCCATTGTAGATGATGAGTTGTATATTACTACAAATGAAATTAATAAGGATAAGGCCCCAGTACTAGATGGAGTTCAAATCACTTTCTACATGTAGTATTGAAATTGTGTGAATGTAAACTATGATATAATAATTAAAAAGATGGTAATTAGTGGAGCCTTTATATAAAGAATAATTAAAAAATTAATTACTCTACTTTCAAAAATTGGGGACCTTATACAGCTTAATAACTAAAAGCAAATAATATTACTTACCATTACTTATAAGATTTTTGTCAAAGGCATCATTAGTCCAAATCAAAGTATATTTATATAGAAAAAATTTATTCTAAATAATATCCTCCTAATACATGAGACCTTAACCTAGGCCACAAAAATCACATCAATCTTGTATTTTCGCAAAACTCAACTTCTCTAAGGTATATGATTAAGTCAATTGGTAATTTTTAATCAATACAATATATAGAATGGATTTTTTGCAACAATTCACAAACATCATAAAGTTGACCTTTGAAGGGACATAAGAAGCTATTAACATCAACAAACTAATATCTAAATCTTTTTTTATTTAAAGAGGGATTTGATAAAATTATCTATTGGTACCTATTCTATTTATCATAGTCAACAAAGTGTTTGATGGACAAATAAGCCATGAAGTGTACCATTGGATGTATGGAGTTATCATACTAGGCTTTACAGTGCAGTAGGTGATGTTATAGTATGCCAATGACACCTCAATATTTATCCACACCAACAAATCAAAAGTTAATAAACTAATCAATATATTGGACTCATTTGCATTAACATATAAACTAGAAGTAAATTGGCCAAAGTTAGGCTTGAATTAGATCAGTTGATGGAAACCAAAAGTCAATTAGACAAATATCCTTTAATGGATGTCAATGCCAAAAGGACACTTAGTGAAGTTACTATGACCTTCTTTGAATTTTCCATAACAATATCTTGATGCACTTAATTTAAGTGCATCAAAGATATTTATAAGATAATTAGTTTTATTTATAAAAAAATATATAATGCTAATATATTTATAAATTTGAATAAGACATAGAATATGAAATTATTTCCTTGAATGGATTATTTAAGCTTTGAAGATATTGTCTTTTAGGATAGATATGTGTTTCTATAGTAATTGAAGGTAGATATTAGAAGAATATTAAAGAAGGGGGTTTTTAGCATTAAGTAGGATTTTTTTATTTGAGTAGATGTGTATAGAAGAAAGGTTGCAAGAGTTTTTGGGCGGCAAGTTTCAAAACTAGTATGGAATTTTTTATATCTTTTATTATTTTTTTGTCTTTTTATATTAAAATTTGGAAAGAAGATAGATCTTATTGTTAACTTTTCAATAAGCATTAGTATGTAAGAAATAGAGTTGTAATAAGAAAAAACCAAGCAAATTTGTAGATGGGAGTTTTGAGGGCTACCGCTATAAGAAGTGGCTAACTTTTCTTTGATTTTGTTCTTATTTTTTTTTTAAATATTTATTGATTTTGACATTTTAAAGTTTATAGCTTGGATTAATATCAATGAGCTAAACTTTGTTTGGATAAGATTACTAATAAATAAGTTATAGTTATTTTAGTAAAAAAAAGTTTAGGTTTGAGATTAAAATTAATTTTTTATATTTGAATTCATTTAGATAATATTATGCTTCTTATAACCTACTTGCAATTAAAGACCATGTGTTTTCTTGAGAAAGCTTTTCCTCTTGACAATGACATCTAATGTCGATAACTTTTTGAAGAAAAAGATTTATAAGAAACTTAGGTTTTGGTACTCTAAGAAATTTTTATTAGGGAGTCAAAGACTAATGGTAAATTAGGTCCTATTATCTATCATCTAGTATTTTGTGAGTGTATGGACATGATCCAACAAGACTATCAAACATATAAAAATTCTCTTCTGTAATTATTTCTAATCAAGATACAAACATTGAATATGTGCTAAAGTTACTTAATTGATATATATATATATATATATATATATATAGAAATAAAAAAATCAAAGCTCTGTACTTTATAAACTGAAAAGATGCAAAAAAAATACTTTTTTAGCAAATTGTTTTAAAAACAATGGAGCTTGTATAATCTAATGTACACACCATCTTATAATATTGGCTACAATAATATCAAAGTCAAAAAAGTAGAAAATAGAGCTCTGACATGAACCGGACAATATTCACATAGCATTAGAAGTCAATTGGCTTAAAATTTTGGATTCAAATTGGTAAGGCCTAGCAACAAGTATGAAAGGCTATTAAATAAAGAAGGTCATACTTCTATGCCAAAGTATGTAATGTTGGAATTTGATTCAGCATAGAATTTGTATCAACTATTTATTTCAACTTTAATAAGAACATGGTGGCCATAATATATAAACAATGTTGCTAATACATTAGTGATTATCAACGTTAGATCTCCAAAAAAAATTTCCATAATCTAGGTGAACTAAAGCACTTTCCAATTGTAAAATTTAGTAGAAGCTACTATATCATCTGCAGATTAGATTAAGTTCTTTAAGCCAAACATGATACTATCATGTAGATCCATTCAACCCCTATCTTCCAAAGAACATTAGTGTATGATCCAACAAGGTCAATAGCATTCAAAGTTGGTTTGAAAAAGTAAGAGTTGTCACTGTCCATCTTTTCGGTAAGCAACTGGAAAGAGAGATGCTGACGTGGCTGTTGACATGGCTGTTGACGTATCAATCAGTGTATACGCAATGCTGACGTGGTTGTTAATTTGGTTGTTGATGTGGTTGTTGACGCAAAGAAAATCAAAGTCATGGAACATAAATTTCTCATTGTTGATTTGAACTTGGCATGCACGTTGTCAATTGAGTATTAGTACAAAGTTATTATTATCTTAATTTGATTTAATTCACACGGTAGTAGAAAAGCTTTTACATTCCATAATGTAGAATGAACTCATTCTCAATATATATATAAATTGATACAATGTTTGTGAGATGTGATTGCAAATTCCCATACTTTCTACTACTAACAATAATACTATTTAACATCATTTCAATATCTCTATCTTATTCATGTGCTTAATTTATTGTTAGTCATGCTTTCCATACAAATATCTATATTTATTTTTTTGCAAGTGAAATTTCAATTAATGTAGTTAAAAACTTACTAGCTTTAATATTATTGTAAAAGAAAAAACATTGAACTCATTACATTGTTTGCATTTAGTCAATAAAAGTTCAAGGATCTTTTGATTTACTTGGTTTGCATTAGTTGATAGTTTTAGACAATAAAAATACTATCAACAAAATGTACATGTATATATATATATATATTCGAGACACGTCCTTTTGGGACTTCCGCTCGATTCACCACGTCCACTGCTTTTGGGACCTAAGCGGGGAATTGAAACATCAATTTTAGATTACAAGAATTAAGGATTTCATTTGGGACGTGGGACCTAAGATAACCTACAACTCTGGACTCTGGACCTGCACAACTCCAGCTGAATTCTGCTTCGGGATTGTTGCTTTGGAGAACCAGATATTCTACGCAGACCTTGAACAACAGATCCTGGCACCAGACTATCTGCCAACAATTCATTTCGCAAACTTAGTAAAGAGTGCTTATGACCGACACTACGAGCTCATTTGCTTCGGCTGTGACTGAACTGAAACATCCCCAATATCTCAGTTCACTGACACAGCGTACTGCGTTCGTCGGCGCGCTCCGGCAGTTGTTGAGATCAGTGGCTAAGGAATCGTGGCTCCCTCCCCACTGTACACGCTCCCTCTGCATGGAAAACCTTCACTCTGTGTGCAGTCGAGAGTTGCACAAGTTCTCGCATACCTGAGCTTCATCACTTCGCTAGCAGAACCTAGTTTTTTCCTATTAACTTGTAATTTGATCTCCCTCTATGCACTTTTTTGCCTTCGTCGTGCCCTTGCAGCTTGCTGCATGTCATGCTAAGTTACCGATGCTCGCGTTTTTTCTAGAATACATGTAGAAATCAACGTGTTGTGTTTGTGATCATATCGACATCTGTTTCCAAATCATAACAGAGCCTGAAGTTATTATGAAAAACGTCACAATGAACATGCGAACAGGTGTACTAGAAAAAGTGAACCAGAACAATATCGTCATCTGAAGACATCAAATTTCTTCACACTTGACTTCGTAGAGATTAGTTTTCAAACACAGTGTGAGAGGGTCATTTATGAGAGGCACAACAAAGTTGTCAGAGAGTGGGTTTTGCTGACACACCACATTCATTCAACTTAAATATGTGTGCGACCGACTCAACCTCAGACTCAATTTCGCACGCAAAGTTTGAGCTCCTATATTCATCCATGAGGCTCGAGAGATTATGAACTCCATTGACATACTGTAAAACGTGGAGCATGCTATTTCGAGTTAAGTGCTTTGCGGTCATCTCAAATACGTCGAAGTCGAAACGAAATGCTATCCAATATTCTCAAATTAGGAATGCAGCTAACGAGAAAGTGGACATTGAGAAAGAGGTAAGTCATGCTATTTATCTAAAATTGTCTACAATCTTCCTAATTTGATGACCCTGTTTAGGATCTGTGCCCACAAACAATAACATACCCCTGCTACGACCATCTGTGATGGCTGCTGGTGAGGAATCTGTTCGTTTCCCGCTACTTATGCGTTAAGTTGTAGTGATATAAGCTTTAACTCACCAACAGCCATCTACTAGGTGCATAGATGTCATATACCTATAAAAGCTGTTGACGATACTTGAGAGTTCCCCTACATGGAACTGACGAACAAAAAGAGTAGTTGATAGTTCAGTACAGCTTGAGAGGTTTGCTTCACTGAATCAGGGAGAAGCTTAAAAGCTAACATGGAGCACCTGTAGACATAGTGAGATCCAAAGTGATACCCTGCGATGACGACAGTTGCACAGTCTTACTCGGGCCAAGCGAGCTGTGATATTCGTGATGATCATCGCCGATATGAGGAAAACTCATCGACTGTTGAGACTTTAATACCGGTGAGGAGCTCTGCGCTGTGCGGGAGCTGTAGGGATATAGGGATAGGGTACCATCAAGCTCCCTGTTGTTTGATAGGGTTGATGCTGTCCCCGGCTCTGAGCGCTGCATGATCGACCATGGACTTGATATGCCTGCATGATCTTCTGCAAATGCATGTCGACAGCTGTCTGCATATCCGTCGGGAGTGCTCTGCATTCAAAATGCATTATTCAGTAGCTCATAGGATTCTCACAAAGCTCAAATGTACACACAATTTAAGAACTTGGCTAGTAGCTTGATGAGTCTGCATTCTTAAGAATCAATGCAGAAATGAGAAAACGTAAACACAAATTCTCACCTGGTCTCTAATTTCAAACACAGCAGGCCACTTCGTAGTCTGGAGAGTGACCTCATCCTCCCTTGCGCATTGCTGCTTTTCTTCGACATTTGAGGAGCTGCAGCTATGATCTAGAAGCTGCTTTAAGTGTATGCGAGAATCTCCCAGTGTCGAAGTAGGTTCGTCGGATACATTATGCTTGGATTGCCTTGACCAATCATCTTGTCTACCTCCTTGACCTTGCCATCTGTCCCACTCGCTTGCAGTCGATTCCTGTCTTTTCAAGGAGTTTGATTGCTGAGAAGCGGCCATTGTAGGGGCGACCCCTCCCGATTGCAACCAAGGTCTTTCCTGATATGCAGAAAATCCTAGTCCTGAACCAAAGGCAACTTGGAAAATTTAGATTCTTTCCTAGTCAACAAATTATAACCATTCATTAACAGTTAGCTCTTCACTTGGATCGACGGGCTGCAGGAGAATGAATATACCGATATTATGAGACTTTTGGAATTTTTTTTCCCAGTCTGAAGGAACCGAATAAGACGGCTTTGATGACCATCGATCTTCATGCAAGTCAATTCCCGATTGGTCACTGTAAGTATTTCCTGTCACATGAGTACCCCTTGCCAGGTTCTGCTCCCTCTTCCTCCATCTCATTTGAAACTCATCGTCAGGCCAATCTCGGTGTCCAGTGGGAGGTCCATATTGTGAGAAAGCCAGGTTGCTCCACTCTCCATGTCCATCATGTCTGTCAGAGAATTCACGTTGACTTTGAGACAGACTGATGAAACTTAATTGGGCAAAAAACTTGTTTATCAGGATTCAAACAAGAGGCTAAAATATCTAGAATCTACTCATAATTGTATATGTGATGGTATGCTATATTGAAAGTGATATACCTTGATACGGCAGAACGATGGTCCAAGAGCTGGAGAATTCCAGAGTGACGATGAACGAAATTCGGAAAGATAGGTTTGCTGGTGACATCGGAATCTCTGACGTGTGAAGCATGCCCTTGGAACTGGTCCCTCCGCTGAGGCCCCAAGGACGTGTGAACTAATGTTGTGTCGGAAGTGCCATGATCTTCTATCATCTGATCCGTTTGCTCCAATCCTGCGAGGTGGCACTAATGACATCAATAATGAAACTCGTACGCGTGAGGTTTCTGGACTGCACATGAAATGCAGCAGACAAACTTGTAACCACTAACTTCGACCTAACCTGTACTGTTTTCTGCTCCCTCATTCATTAGAAGTACTTTATGTTGCGATCCAGCCCAGTAGAATATTCTATTTACGGGAGTAAACTAATACACTGACGAATCTTAGGTAATTAGCATTAGTATCCAAATTTAGCGCTCTAGTAGCTCAAAATTATGAACGCTTAATGCGGTCCAACTAAGCGACGGTGTTGATTATGAGGAGAGTTTCCCATGGAAACACTGCCCCTGTAGACTTTCTGATCTTGGAAGAATTTATCTACTAGCACAATGATAGACGCGATGTACTTGACTTTCAAACTCGATTGTTGTAGTGATGATACATCGCGCAGAGCAATTGACGTCTGCAAGGGACAGGCACGGATGTTGACTTAATCAACGAAGACTAGAAGACGCTGTTCGTTGGAGACGCACATACTGGTTCCGGCACTATGTGTAACTGGAACGAACTGGACGAGGAGTTCCTGACATTTGCGGCGCGACTAGGGTATCGAGCTTGCAGGATTTATTTACATTGACTTTCTAAACAGAGAGGGTGGAAGCAGCTCTACAATATGCGGCGACGGCAATTTGCACCAAGCATGATGTTTGCAGGCTGGAGTAGCAATGACGAGATCATAAATAGAATGATAACAAAGTGAAAAAACAATGCCTGACAATTACGAGTCACTGCTGGAGTGATATCGATATCTCTAATGAAGGGAAGGAACGTGACTGGTGCATTCAATGCCGTCACACTCGAGCTGCTTCCTCTCCGTGTTATAAGGAACCAGTAGGATAGAAAAAAGGTAATGTACCATTCTGTCCATTTTCGTCGTTCTTCATGCTCCGGTACATCTGCAACACGAATGTCACAACTCAGTGGTTAAGAACAACGCATCTGAAATTTCTGGAGCTAGGGCATTGATACTTCATACCAGCAGATGAATCTCAACTATCATTGTACATTGTGAAGAAATCACACTTGTTTGATACTCTTGGGTCCACAAGGACTTCAAAACTGACTAATCCTTATCAATGCTAGCCTATCTATAAAACAAAAACCTGAGTCACTGGCGATAGAACTACTCTTCACAGATCGTTTAATGGAGATCAGAAAGAGGAGATTGGGGACCAACCAGACTTTGGGGCCAACATCGAGGAAGTTCTTCGATTTGTCTTGAATTAAATCAGGATTAAATTCTAGAAATTTGGAACACGATTCATACCTGCAGATGGCTTTTGACATGAGCGATAGTGAGGCCTTTGACATCCATCAGTTGGAGGACAAGTTTCGGTGTCGCTCCTGCGACAAATGATTGTTCAATTAATCTACCAGTCACATCATCTTCATCACATATGATGGCATGAAGTGGACCTTTACTGACGACATTTGAACCTGGGATTGAACGCACAACAACCTACAGCAGCGACGAGCAGTATCCATCACTTGTCGATCAAGCAGCGATGCGGCAGACTGCGAAGCAACTGTTTCAGAGCTCTTGGGAATGCACGCCCTGTGATTAGGGGGGTTAAGGTTAAAATCATTGCATTAGCCGGATTTTCTTTCAACTGCCCCACACTTCGAACCTTCACTATCGTTGTACACCGAGATAACGTTCTGAAAATTGCTTTGTATTCCCAGTTGTATCCGAAGAGTTAGTTAGTCTAGACTGTGACACACATTGCCCATCTGCGCACACCTGCTGCCCCCTGTGACTAGGGATCATACCACAATCCTGCCCATCACGGGACGCGTTCCACAAGAGCATACCCTGAACGCTTCTGTCATCGACATTGAAAATCGATTTGATGTAGGGTTACTTGTTGTTGAAGATTCTCTTACGAGCGCTCCACGATTGTTATCGTGTGGCAAGCATATCCTAGTTGCGCCTGCATTTACTCATCGACAAGTCAAACATTGTCCTGAAAACTGCGGCGACTGAATTGTCCGCTGGATCCACGTAACAGCAATCTGATTGCCTCGCAGGTTGAACGGAATTCTAACAATTTCTCGACTGACTGTTGGTATTGAAAGTGGACTGCGTGGAGGTAGGAAGTTTAAGGAAAAAAAAAAAAAAAAAAAAAAAAAAAAGAGCGATAGAGGAGAGAACTACTCACTGTCCTGGCCTCCAAGCCGTTCCACAGCTACTACAAAGCATTGATGTAGGTCCGGAGTCCAGCGCAATCGAGGCATTTTCGAACGCACGTATTGTCTAACAGTTCCTCCGGTCTTTCCGCTGCCGCCGCTGAACCCACCTTGATATCCAGTGCGGGGGCTGCCCCCGGAGGCGTTCTGACTTTCGGAAGAGCGTTCCGGAGTGTACTCCCCACTGGAAGATGAGTTGCGCTTTCTGAAATTATCCCCGCCCCACTTCCGCCCGGGATGTACTCCGTCGCTGCCACTGCTGTATTCCACTTGGCCCTGCATCCCGTTTGTATTTTGGCAGCCCTGCGTGCTCCCAGTGGTCCTCATATTAGCCGTGATTCGTAAATGGCAAAAAGACTGACGCCCATCATATTGATGTGTGTGTATACTTTGCAGCGCTCCTCAGTCAAAAAATCTGCCGCACGCAGCTGATAATCCCCAACAGCAACCTTGGAGACTCTAACCAGGGCAGATAAGGATCAAGGGGAACGTCAAACTTCCGAGCTTTGTCAGGGATTCAGAAGTGGTGCAAAAGAGAATTTCGATCGCTGAGGATGGCGGAGTGGAATCATCGATTTTAACAAATCTTGTACTTGAAGGAGCTCCAGACGAAAAGACATAGGGGACAAAGAT